GGGGGGGTAACGCATTCGAGGCGAGAGAGGCTTCTATAGGGGAGGAACGGGAACAGGGTTAGAACTGCAGTTGTCTAAGTGAATGCCCCCCCCCCTCTCCGCGGCGGCAGTCGCTAATATCCGATAGTAGTCAGACCGGGTGTTCGCCGCAGATAGACGGAACACCTGTTCGTGGCGCTTGCGGGTGGGGTGGCCTGGGTGGCGATAGGGTCGTGTGTTGAGCTGAGCCCCCGGCTTAATAAAAACGGATCGTTTCATTTGTTTGTTCTCCTACCTGTATGACTTGTATGCGTTAGTTCAATTGAAGCTGCCACATCGTGCAAAGTTGTAACTGCGAAAGCGCAGATTGCAGGTGCTGTTGTGCGGGTTGCCTTACTTGCTCGGGGCCACGCGGCACCATGAATTCGAGACGGCAGGCAAATCGCCTGCCTCGCCCAGCAGGTGATGGAGTAAAATCCAACCGTGTTTCAGACAACTGGTACTGGTTGGGTCCAGTGTCCCCGCACTCCTCCGTACAATTCCACGAGACGTTTAGACCGAATGAACGAAAGCGAAGCTGAACAATATTGCTAAAAGTCTGTTGTTTCTCTTTTCTCAGGGTGGCGGCGCTGGTGGCGATGTTGGCCACCACGGAGATAGACCGCTCGTCGGTATGGTGCGTTCGCCAGCTGTGGCGGCACTTCGTCGGCTACCTCTGCATCCTGGTCGTGTACGTGGTGCTGGAGGGCATGATCTCGGCCACGGCCATGCGCGGCGGCATCCTCGAGGTGGAGCGGCGGTCCAGCATCAAGTACCAGATCTACTGCAGGCTCGGTGCGTGAGTAGCGTAGTGTAGGGGGCCGGGATTTCCTGCGCTGTGGAGTCAAATTTTTGAAAATACTAATATGTTTGTCTTGCGTAGGTGTGATGGTATTTGAGCTGGTCTGGCTTGTCCTCGGCTGCACATGGCTGGTTTTTCATTACGATGGATGTCAAGTTGATAACACGACAAAAAATGTGATGCTAGGTGGGTTTCCTTCTAATTGTGTTTTTATTGTGTGTTTTGATGTGTTACTTGTTTAACGCCGAACGATTTTGACAGCGCTTATCATATCCAACGGAGTTATGTTCTTGAGTGTGGTGCTGACTGGATGGTGCTCCTACGACGCGGCGGGCCGCTCGTGGGTGAAAATGAAGAAGTACCAACGTTCAATGCGCGAGGCTGAGAGCCGCTTTCAGTACAAACGATCTGGCTCCAGAAATCGGAATTGGCGCCAAAGGTCAGCTTTCTTAATTCCGTGTTGCCAATCTGACAACCTTTTCCATATACTCGCAATTCTCGTTTTAAATGTTCGTCATATTTTCAGAAAAGTGATGCGAGCTTATCAGCAGAGCTGGAACTCACGATGTAAATGGCTATTCTGTTGTGTGCAAGGCACAGACAGAAATCGGGTAAGCACATGTCTTATCTTGCAGAGTTTTAGTTTTTCAAAGTCTTTTAATATTTCATCTGTCTTTACAGAATTCCTTCACTGACATTGCTAGGCTCTTGTCAGATTTTTTTCGGGACCTTGATGTTGTTCCTTCTGACGTAGTGGCTGGTTTGGTTTTATTAAGAAAGTTTCAAAAGATTGAACGAGAAGCCATCGTTACTCAAGTAAAATAAAAAGAAAAAGAAACTTAATAATTTATTACTTACCATTACTTTTTCTTTTCTTCAGAACTGACTTGTCTTTATTTTTCTTTTTGTCAGAGAAAAAATGATACTTATGAGTTTTTATCTGGTGTTGCTGTGACGTCTCAAACACGATTCCTTGCCCTTCATGATCCGGAACACTACCAGCATTTCCAAGATGTTATCCACTACATGAATTTTGCTCTTGCTGCGTATGGTTGGCCAATGTATCTAATGACAAATCAGCTTGGACTGTGCAAACTTTGTCCAAAACTGAGGTAAACTTTTTAATATACATGTATAGATATATTATTTTTTTAAATCCCGGTGTAATTTTTCCATTGAACTCTTGCAGCTGTATGTGCATGCCATGTTTGGGGCCCAAGGACTCAGCTGTAATCGTGGAGGACAACTGTTGTCAGTGTAACTATGCTGCCCTCCAAAAAATGGTGCAAGAGGGAGATGTTGATGTGGTTTATGCAACATATCATGTTGAAGTGGGAGAGACTCCTTTTTTTGTTGCTGTGGACTATGACAGACAAAAAGTTGTTATTAGCATTCGTGGTACCTTATCTATGAAAGTAAGTCTCTTGCATACCAAATTGTGTGCTTCATATTGATCTTTTAAAATTTCTAACACTAATATGATTATTATTTTTTTTCAGGATGTTATAACTGACCTGAATGCTGAGTCAGAGACCCTTCCCCTGGATCCACCAAGGGAAGACTGGAGTGGACACAAGGTATGACTCGACTGGTAACACCACACCCTTATCAACTTATTAAATTATCTTAAACTTAAATTCATAACATCATTTTTTTTCATATTCTTTTATTTTAGGGTATGGTGCATGCAGCTTTGTACATTCAGGAAAAACTAGACAATGATAATGTCTTGGTACAAGCATTCAATCACTGTGCTGAACGTGGAACTCAAGACTTTGGCCTTGTTCTAGTTGGCCACTCTTTAGGGGCAGGAGCTGCAGCAATACTTGCAATTATGATGAGACAGCAGTATCCTGATCTTCAATGTTTTGCATATTCCCCACCAGGTGGATTACTTAGGTAAGGATCAACTTCATTCATGAGTGATTCTTTCATTTTTGTTCCTTTTAGGATGTGACAAAAGCTTGATTATTTTCCTTTCAATTTTATCTATTGCAGTATGCCAGCTGTTGAGTACTCAAAGCAATTTATTACATCAGTTGTTGTTGGGAAGGATGTTGTTCCACGAATTGGTCTTCATCAAATGGAGTCCCTTCGAGCAGATCTCATTAATGCCATCAAGCGTAGCAAAGACCCCAAGGTACTTTAAATTGGAGTACAGTATGTACTTGTAAAATTAGCTTTTGAGTTTATTGGTTGACTCTAAAATGGTGATTCTCATTAATTTTTTTTCAGTGGAAAACTATTATGTGTAGTGTTGTCTGTTGTGGTTGTGCACACATGCCAACCTCAGCAGTTGAATTAGGTGCAGATGATTCAAACATGATGGAATATCAAAAAGAGAAAGACATAGCAAGAGAAGTAGCCTATCATCCCAATGACTCTAGTATTGCATTGACTGTCCATCAACCATTGTACCCTCCTGGACGCATCATTCATGTTGTGAGGCACCATCCAAAGAAAGGAGAGTACGTATTCAGATTTAATTTGTTTCTCAGTGAAGGAATAATTTTTTTTGTCTTAAAGCACACATCTTTGCAAGTGTTGTAAGATGTAATCAAATTGTTTGGATTGCATTCACTTTTTTGAACTAACCACTTAGGATTGACATCATCAGTTCTGCTGTTCTGGCAAATGTAATATAATAAGCATGCAAATTCTAATAACAAATTATTTAGTGTTGTACCTCTCTGGTACAGCTTGGCAACTTGCACCAGCTTATGATCTGAGGGTGTTGGGGGGAAAAATGCACTGTGTCACATTTGTCAGTCTGCTTTCTCATATTTTCTTGAACTCAACAAAAATATTTTTTCAACATTTGTAGCAAAATGTCTGCATTGACATTAGATATTACTAGGTCTTGGTTTCCGCCCTGCCATTGCAGCTAAAAGCCTAAATCTGAACAATTTTGCACTTTCATCCATTATGAACAGTCATTAATTGATAAATAGATCAATATTTAGATATCTAAAAAATTATTAGGTGCAAAGGAAATTATATTCTAATGATTAAATAATTCTAGACTTTTAACTCAAACTCAATTCCGACTTCTTTTTTCCTTTATAGGAATAAATATGAGAAAAAGTGGAGGTATGTAAAAGTAACTGAAAGCAATTGAATGTTAACAGTTGTTGTGTTAAGTAATGTTCTGATTACTGTGTGTAAAGACCCATCTCCTGGGAGTCAAAAGTGCTTGATGATTCACACTTCTCTTACTTACCTAATTTTAAATCTGAAATTTGTAAATTATTGACTTACTTTTTATCCAATTTTGTTAAAAGAATTGATATAGTTTCAAAAAGAGAACAAAATGACTCAAATGTTAAAATTTGATCTGATTGCAAGAAATCATAATCGTAGCACAAGTTTGATTCTCTCAGAAGATAAAAAAAATAGTGCAAAAGTAAAATTTGTGCGTGTTTCACTTAAATCTTGCCTTATGAATCTATTTCTATCTACATTTAATTTTACTCTTTCGCTATATCCTCTAGTAAAGTTTCAATACTTTGTTTTACATGCTTACTCGTCCATGATCCTCGCTTTATAAACTTGAAATCAACCCTAGAGTGCATTTGTAAAAGTTAGTAAATATGAGCAATTTGCTTTCTTACTTTTAGCAGTTTGGTTGAGTATGGTAATTGAAATATTCAGACTTGACAAAATTAGATACCTATTAGTAGCGCTAGAACTCTAGCTGTATTTGTAACTTTTTGGGGGTTCCTAGCTGTTATATGTGGCAATTTTTACAGGAACTTTCAGTAGATAGAGTACTGTAGACTAGTTCACAAACTTTTGTAATGTTTGTTCAGTGCTCTTTTTATTTTTCTAATGGTTTGTTCAAAATGCAAGTAATTTGTTATATTTTTCAGACAAGTGCTGTCGAAAAACGAACCAGTTTATCAAGCGCTCTGGGCAAATAACACAGATTTTGATGAAGTACTCATAAGTCCTGTGATGATTCAAGATCATATGCCAGACACTGTTTTAAGTGCATTAAAAAAGGTGAGTGATGTCTGTCATGTCCTGCCACCCACTTGATAAGAGTGCGAACCAAATGTTCCCCACGCTTTGTCATTATTATTATTTACAGTATAATGAAGTTGCATGTGCTTTCTCATTTCAATTGTTCATTTTCTACTGAACTCATGATGGGATGTTTTCCTATCCATTAATGCGATTTCAACAGATCTGGAAGAAATTGAAAATGTCTTTTGAGCATCTTCAAACATGTTCTGATTCTTATGTTTTACATAGCAGGTCTGCTGTATGTTAGGTCTAAACACACTTAAAGCAGTTTGCATGACACCACCACAATCCTTCTTCTTTTTTAAAAAATGTGTCATTTTTAGCAGTTTTAGCTTTAGCTTCTCTGAGATTTGCATGCTTAAACTGAAACTATGCAACCAGATAATACAACACTACTAGAGAACAACCACAACAGTTCTCTCCTTAATTAAATTAATATTTGTTGATTTCAGCAGTTTGGTTATTAAGCTATGAGTTTTCTTTACCTTAAAAGATACATAGTGTACAAACATGCTTACTGAGAAATAGCTTTCCTACAGGGCCATGGGCGAAGGAACAAGGTGCTTCTAAGATTTTAAATTTAAATTTTCAACATATTAACAGCTTATTGTTGTAGGGTATGGATTGAAGGCTGAAACTGCTTTAATTATTCAGTCCTAACTTTTCAGTTGAGCTATATGTCGTTTTTTCTTGAAGAAAAGTGCATTTTGTCGTCTGTTTGTGGGTGGTTTCTACTAAATTACTTTTTTCCTTTTTAATTTTAATTTTCTTTTTTTTCTTTTTTTGCCGAGGTGAGTATTTTGTTTCTGTACGCATAAACTTGAGCAGATATAAATGGCAAAGAATGTAATTAGATTTTACTACAGGGTGTGCATGCTAAGAAACTAGACGCATGTATTTTATAGTATTATTACTTAGAATGCTATGCTGTTGTACTCATTATACTTTTCCTTAAAAAATTTAATGTAAAGAAAAGTGCCCTTCAACTTCAACTTTATAAGCTAGTAATAACTTTCTGCAACTTCAACTAAATCCGTTCAACAAGACATCTAATCTAAAACCCCTCCACCTTTTCTATTTTATTTTGTTAAAAAGAATTGTGCTTGAATCTAATTTTTTGTTTCTTAGGTGTATTGTTTATTTTTCATCTCTCTCAGGTTATGTCTTCACATGAGAAGCAAATGAAAGCTACAAATTCCCATCACCGACAAAATAGTGCTCAAAGCAACAAAAGTTCTTATGTGCCAAATGATACCAGGTAAATTAAGTGCAGTTGGTTTTCATGAAGCCACATGCATTTAGTTTCTTCTAGAGTGTTCGTTTTATTTGTCACTTCATTAATTTGGGAATTAAGCTTACAATTAAGCCATTGATGCCATTGATTCACTGGTGAATGAATTTGCGAAGCTACTGTAGGTGCCTTAGCGTTGATCCCAGCATGCTTCATATAATTTTTGGAACTAGACATGCTGCTGACTATGCCAGTCTCCTACAAGAATCCAGTTCTTTTCTGCTCATCTGAACATAAAGATCAACTGAAAATAGTAATTTGCCAGTCTCTGTCTAAAATTTTGTACTACTGTACTATCTAAAACTTTGTACTACTCATACTGTCTTTTGGGACCCAGTGGTGGTGAAAGTATAAACCCCTCCTTTGAAGCATCTTTAATTATTGGTTATTGTAATTTTTGTATCCTCATGTGGAGTTGTTTCCTTTTAGTTGGTTTTCATCTTAGAACTCATGTCGGTGATATTTGGGAGAGATTTAGTTTCAAGTAGTGAACTCATTGATTTGTGTTGTGGTCAAATAACTGCTTTCAGTAACAGTATCCACCTGACAACTCCTACATAATATTTTCCTGCTTCTACTATTTCATTTGTTTACCTCCGTTCCCTGACTTCCGCTGCATTAAATGTCCCTCCACTTATTTGTCTTTGCCCTGTGTTCAGTTTTCAGGGACTGTGGAGTCATAATATAATAATCTTTGATCAATCTGTTGCATGCACTCCTCTCGTTTAGGGTTTGACAGTAGTGTCTGACTCCATTAGCTGGTGTTGACATGTTGCATGGTTGGTCTTTTGAGTAATCTGTGTTTTGTGGCAAAATTAAATATTTGTTTCTATTCAGCCCATTGGTCCTAGCCTGTAATATCAATCAATATTTATATTTGTTACATAAGCACCCTGTTCTTTAAAAATGTTGCTGTTAGCCATTTTAGTGTTTTGTTTGCTACTGCCATGTATCTTTGCATTATTTTTTATTTTATTTTTCTTGCTAGGTACTTGAAGTCCACAATGCGCATATTTCAAATGAAAATCCCCTCCCAACCCCTGACGACCTTACCACCGACTCATCAATTGGTGCAGTTGGTGACACGGCCATAGAGCATTTACTAAGTCCTGGGCCAAGTGCTAACTCATAAAATTGATGACCTGTCCCTAGAAATTACCTGCATGGTAAGTAGTAAAGTAAATTAACCATGGAGATCTCAATTTTAAACTTCCTAGCATACTTTTATGGGACACAGCTCCACCTTACTCATTCTAAAAAGTCCATGTCATTTTTGCAAGTTGTTTCTCTATCCTTACAAAGAATATTTTGTATGACTTTGATATTATTAACTTTGCTTCAAGTGCTTCTGTTAATAGCATTAATTGTGTGTTTTTGCTTTTTATTATATCTGTTTAGATGTGTGTCTTTCATATCAAAGTCTTGAATTTTGCTTGTTATCTATTGTAGCTAGCCATTCTTTTTGCCCTGATCAAATTGTTATATTTTTTGTTGAAGATCATCGCTTTCATTTATCAAATTTGAATTGTTTTCTTCGACTTTCAGTTCTTTTTTTCCTTTTTTTTGTTCATTTGTTAGTTTATTTTTTATGCCACCCACAAAATGAGCAAGACAGTGTTCTTAATCTCACGTGTTTACATTTTCTAAATTCTGAATAGTAGTTTATTTAGACCCTTGCCCACAGGGTGGTCTTTTGGTACTACCATATTTGCCCAAATGGCTGGAAGAACTTATAACTGAACCTTTGTTCATTCCATCTAGTTTAAAATTAGCAGCACAATGCATTATCACACAGGTTGAATTTTCTCTCCTGGATCATAGAAGGTTAATCTTTTTGAAATCAAACTTGAAATTACTTAATCTATCTTGTTATTTTGTTTCCTCAGGTTATAACAACTGTGGGACCTGCTAAACCACAGAGGGCCGTGTCAACCATCACTGGTACTTCTCCTTTGTCTGAGACACTTCTGGATTCAGAGCGTTGTCGCCTGTTGAATGTAGGCAATCTTACTCCTTGTACCCCCAATGCTCCTACTCCTCCTCATCGTCTTCTGTTGGAGACAAGCTTCACTTCTTTGCAAAGCCCATGTACCGAAGTCCGTCTTACGTCTGGCAGTTTAAATTCATCAAATGGCAGTCAGGCAAGATTGACTTCATCATCAACAGGTGTTTTTAAATGGTCTGCTGGGCCACCTGTTCAAACCCCACCAGCTGCTCTCAGTGGTATCCCATGGGAATGTGCGTCATCAGTTGAGGACAGATACAATAGCCGTCCTTCAAGCAGTGGGCATGGAACTGGGAGTCAGAAAAAGGTTGACTTAATCCATGATGACTGGTTTGGGCTTGCACCTCTAGCAACTCCAGAAAGTTTATCTGAAGTGTCTAGTATCAGTTCTCGCACAAGCAGTGTCCACATTGATCGTAGTAAGGAGTATTTTTCTATATGTGGCCGCACAAAACTTGGTGCAAGTGGTAATCAAGATGTTGTTTTAGTTCAAGGACCAGGTGAGAGTCCTGCTTTCCCAGTGCTTCTTCATTCCAGTCCACGCACACCACGTGTTCTACGAAGAACTCCTAAAATAAATGGAAATTTGTCTACTGCAGCTGAAGATGTAGGGAGTAACATTAAATTTGCTATGACTAATATAAATCTTGCCTCTATTGCTGTGCGTAGAAATTTACCCGTCCCTCTAGAGGATTCTAATACATTAACTAATTCCTCCGAAGATGAGGATGTTAGCTTAGAATCTTTCTCTAGACCTAATAGATATCCTAGTGACATAGATGTCCCTGTGAGGAGACCCTCACCCCTTACGAAAATTGCAGATCAGAGTAGTGTAGAGTGTTGTTCTGAAGTAGACTGCCATCAGCTTTCACCTTGTCCTGAACTAGCTCCACAAATGGAAAATTCCCCATTCACTTTACAAGAACAAGTTGCCATTGAAAGCACAAACAGCAGTAATTTGAGAAGCCACAAAGGACCTGTTTGTCAAACATCTGCAGATTCAGGAAATTATCAGTGTGGAAGTGAAAGTTTAGCCACCAGTGAATGTTCTGGGGATTCTCTCAGTGGGCCATGGAGTGCACATAGACAAACATGCTCTGAAGGAATCAGCTCAATATCACCACCAGCAAGTGCCAGTGGTACTCGGAGTATTGTTCCTGATGCTCTTCCGCTCTTGAAAAATATTGGTCTGACTGATACTGGGGAGCGAGATAATGAGTCTATTTTGTCATTTGGAAAAACTTGCCAGCACTCTTACCCTACCACATCTGTTGAGAAACAAGAAAGTAGTGTATAGAACTTGGTGAGTATGCCCTGCTTCTAGCTGTTGGTGCAGTGGAGATAAAGCACAAAAAAAAATCCCATGATATTTATTTTATTATTGGGATTCAATACCAAGTGATGTGGACATGTGACAATGACCACTGAACAGTGAAAAAATGAGCCATGATAATTAATTTGATAAATAGCAGCTAGAAACAGGGTAATTTTTCAGAACAAAAGAAAATTAGTCTGAAAAAGTGAATAAATTATGGGAACAAGACTGTTTTAATCAAAAGCCAGAATATGAAATGTGGTACTTTTATTAAAATATAGATAGATTTCCATTTGAGCTAAGATAGATTAGGTTTTCAATGATGCCAAATAAAAATTATCTGCGTATTTGAAACTCAATAAGGGGCTGTCTTTGTGTTCATAAAAGTAATGTTATGATCTGTCGCCAATTTGTTTCTGCCTTCTTATTAGGGCAGCAGCCAATAAATTTTTGTAGACATGACATATGAAATGTTGTGTACATGTTTATAGGATTTATGTATGTTTTATGCATCACAGTTTCTGATAAAAAAAAAATATTCTGATAGCTCTGTCACAAAATGTTTTTATCGGCTTTTGATGGCTTCTGTGTTGGTGCAATATAATGTTTGGAGTCTGTCCCTGGGTACATAACGTCCATGTTTTTATCTCAGGTGCTTATGAGACCAAATTTTCCAACAAGCTGTTGAATTTAGACTGATACTTTTATGCAAGGTCATTAAGCCATGAGATTTTTTTAAAGATCTGTCCTTAAAACTAATTCCTCATGGAGACCAATAGATGGTAGTATTTTTTGATTCATACCTTTTGGTTTGTTACCTTTTAGCTCACTGACTCGCAATATTGAATTTTTCTCATCCTTTTGTGCAATCTTAGGTAGTATTTATTTAATCTTATCTATTAAGAAATCAATTTATTTTGTCTTGTTTTCAATTATGTTACTATACCATGGTGCTCCTTTTGTGACATTAATGCATTGTTGACTTGTAGTTCTTAAAATTGTGTACTTTTCTTATGGTCAACCGTATTGTTTTCCCTTTTTTTTTATTTTTGTAAACAGTAGTTGCAGTGTTAGTGAAGGTTCGAAGTAATTGTAGAGTGGCAGTGTGATGTCATTATTCATACCACCTCCTTCATACTGTGTAAGGTACAATATGAAGAAAAGCTTTCCTTTATTGTGGTGAAGGAATGCTTACCTTGAGTGATCAGCCAAATTCTAAATTTAGCTAGCATTTGCCCTTGTTATGTGGTTAAAGAGCCTGTGACATTGTTCCTTTTAGAAGATCTTAAAGTGAGTACATATTTTTATAGCTTTTCTCTTATGATCAATAGGTTGTTCTCTGCAATAACAATGTTACTGTACTAAGTATTAGTTTTCTGCACTGATGTGGCATGCTCGTCCAGCCAAAAACTGTCACTACTTTCTTCCTACCTTCGGATTAAATGAACACTCACTCAATGTTATTGATTATTGGCTCTACTTGGGAGACATTTGGCTTTGTTCTTGTTTGCCATTGTCTGTTAGTAGTCGTTAGATCATGGTCATTGTTTTGAACTTCCTCTTGTTTGGCGTCACTCTGCTTTCTCAAAAAATTAATATACACCATGGTGTATTGCTTTGCAAATGGATACATTATAAACGAGTTAAAGAAACAATATGTGTATGTGACTTAAATGATCTATAAGAACTTAATTTCACATCTGAAATCCATAAGTAGCAAACTACTGATGGATCCAAAGATGTTGTGCCTACCTGTATGTAGGACGATTCTCTGTGATTTCTTAGCATGCTAAGTAGTTATATGCTCATTGTACTGTGCTGCATCTCTAATGTGTTCTACTGCAGGATCAGGCTCAGTTGTTTTCCATTTATGGAAATGGTACTCAACGAACATTTCAGACACATGATGTAATAATTTAATAAGCCTCAAACTGTTAATTGCTTCATTACTTTTTAGATTCAACTGTTCAATAGATGACACCAGTCAGTTATGGTGTCATTTTATCTATCATAAATTTATGTTCAATAAAAATTTTCTACTTAAATGTGATCATATTGTCAAAAATGAGCAATTGTGTTCATAAACAAATACTTTCATAAAGCTCAAAGCAGATATAAAGATTAGAATTTTATAAATCAGCTGTTAGCTAACTGGCTGAACTGTTGTTGGTTCACCTCAAAGTATAAGTAAGGAAGTGAATTTATTTTGCCTGCTTTCATTAAGTCTAAAAAAATACTTGAGGGTATTTTATGTTTGTGATAAATGTGTCCAGATTGATTACTGTCGGTCAATAATATTCTTCAAGATCTCATATATTCAAATAAAAGCAATGTTAATGAAGTGTGTTGTATTTTTATTATTATCTACAAGGTAATCGGATCACTTGCACAAAATTTACACCTCATACAAGATGTAAATGTTTTATTTGTATCTTCAATCTTGCTACAACACTCTATTCAAACATTGCTGAATCATTCCAATGTATGATATGAAGTGCAAAGTATTGCACCTTAATTCTATCTACAAAACAGCATCAAAAAGATTACAAATGTTAGGCCCATGAGGCGACTCAAGAGAAATGCCCGGGGAAAGTAAGAACTTTTCTACTTGATTTGTTAGGTAACAAGACACTCACAGAAACTTTTGGTTCTTACTCCTACTCATTCACAATGTCTTCATCACACAGCCACAATTTTTTTCATTGTTTCTTTCATAAGCATAGTTTTTCATAAAACAGAAATTCTGATTTTTAACTTTACTTTTGTTGGCTGGTCAAATTATAAATTTCATTTAACATCCCTACCAGCAGGTGCGGTGTTCTTATCACTCTGGTTGCAATGTCATTGTGTTGGAAATAGCAGCAGAAGACATACCAACTATTTACGATGGTTTTGGTAAGTGACATCTAGTTTATTTGTCTAAAAAGTTAGTAGATAATTAGAAAATTTTAATGTGAGAAAATTGATATTTCACGAACAGAACAAGTACAAGCTCTTCTTGTCCTCCTAAGAACTCTCCAATTGGACTCTAGCAGATAATACGAAATTTGATCTACAGTCTAATGGTCCAATTAAATTAAATTAAATCAGTCAAATAAAACTTAACAGTACAATCTATTCAAACTTCTCAGTCTTCACTTTATACTTCTTGCATCTCATCTCTGTCTATGTAAGTAATAAGTTGCCAATTTCATAAAGAAAAAAGTGTTCTACATCTAAATTATGTGTATCAAAGCAGCGTTAGGCTTGGTCACTACGTCAGCCACTTTATTTCATGGCAATAGACATTGATTATGTTTTGTTTTTTTTAGCTCACCGTCACCATGCTGCCAGTGGAATGTAGCACGCGTGTATTTTCCTGTCTCTTTTAAGTTAACACAATCACTTTCAGAAAATTTATCCAACATATTTTTAAATTCAAAAACTAACATTACTGCAACTGTTTACCACTTTTGTTTGACTGCAACGTTTTCATATTATCTAATTAAAAAAATACAATGATACCACTTCTCTGAACATGATTATGTGAAAGTTCTATAAGTGCCCTTTTCTGTCATTCCAACACCTATGCTCTACATAAAAAGACTCCTTCCTTAGACAGACTAGTTTTACCTCTGACTTCAATCTACAATAATAATTCATGGATGCCCCATTGTATATGACAAACCCTATTATCAAAGGGTTATTCATCTCACACACTGCACTCTCATCCTATAAGAGTAGCAACAGCATCAAAGGTACTGAATTTACAACAAAAAAAGATGGTATGATTTTTTTAAAACACAAGACAAATACAGTAACAGGACTAACTAAATATGTACCGAGAGAGAGAAAGAGGGAAAATTAGGTAAGAGAGTTGGATCATGTTAAATTTAGTGAAGGGAATAAAGTGACAAGGGGTTTCCTAAGAAGGAACAGACAAAAAAATAGTTATTGATGAACATTACTCCCGATTGTTCTGTTTGTTGTTGGTTTTGTGTATCCCCCCGTGTGATTTTATCCCCGCACCTCTACCCGCTCACCCCTACTGCCGTCCACCGCCGGCAGCCCCTGTCCCCGCCACCACTACCCGTCCCCGAAGCTCCGTGATCAGCCGCTGCGAGACGGGCTCGGTCGGCGATTCGGAGTCCGAGAAGCGCGCCAGTCCCGTCTCGTCCCGGTTGAGCAGCTTGTCCGTCGTGTTGGCCTCCACGGGAACCTGGAAAGGCACAGCGAGATTTTTCATGTGGAAGTCACTCCGTCCTCTCCAGCATACCGGGGGAGGCGGGCGCATTTGCTGTTCTGCGATCCAGCGCCGGGCAGCTGTGTCCGGCAGGCCTGCCCGCCCAGCGCCGTGTGCCCGCAGGGACAGCGTAGGCCAGCCCGCCG